TGAAAATGGTTATATTGGCAAATATCTGTAAAGTGTAGCCAATATTCGTGGATGATTACGTTGGGATTAATGCAGAAAAGAGGTAGACAGGCTTAAGGATTTTTACCAAGTCTTGGAGAATGACCAAAAGTCACCAAAAAAAAAAAAAAAAAGGAAGCTTTTGCCAGCCTCGCTCCCAAGGGACAAGGGGAGTAGCAGTGGTTATCAGGTTCCACAGCAGCTAAAACTGCTGGAAGGATGACCACAGGTGAGGGCAGAGCCTCAGAGGGGAGGATCTTGGCCATTAATAGTCTCAGCCTAACAGACAATGTTGAGGGTATAAATACAAAGATCTATATCTTCTAACCTTTAATCATTTGCTTGGGGCCTCTCATTGGCAAACCATCCAGAAGGCTGAGGGAAAATTATCCCCTTCTGGTCACAGAACAAACATGCATGAGGGTGAGGATAGAGATTCTTCAGCACAATGAAGATGTTTGTCCTCTTTCTTCACAGATTGTGGGCGCTAAATTAGTCTAGAACTATATAGTTTGTAATTTAATACTTTGTAACAAAATTTAAAAATCATTGATTATTTGTCCTACCAAAGTAATCATGTATGTAAAGATATTTGTAGCAGACACTATTTTTTTTCAAATAATCACTATCAAGATTCAACAATGACATCATTAAGCTAATTAATAGGTAATTTATTTTGGAATTGGGGACATATCTATCCTATAGAATATAACCCAGTCTCCAAGCATTGAACTGGTAAGATCTTAAATTAGCTATTGAATTAGCTTAAATTAGCTCACTGAATTAAAAAAAAAAGAAACAAAACAAAACATGCTGCGACCTGATTTTCTCACTAAAATAGAAGTTCAAATTACACAACTCAAAGCTTTTTAACCATATTATTAGAGGTTTTCATTTTTGAAACTCAGTTTCAGTCAGGTACAATAAATTAATTGTATGTTTACAAATAATAACCTAAGAGGGGAAAGCCAATCAAAACTATGTTAAATGTTAATTTTAATGTATCTGATTATGTTTAAGAAGCTTAACTCTTTAGCCATCCTGAGAAAATTGTTTTGTTCATTATGTTTCTTCAAATGTTATTTTTGAACACATTTAAGAAAGCAGAAATTTTATGAAAATAATGGAATATTTTCTATCCAATGAACAATAATATTAATTCTGAATTAGGATGAAGAATTCCAATAATGGTCTTTAATGTGCTCTAAAGGATGTAGAAACCTGAAACCTTGTTACCATGGGATAGAAGTGGTTCCTCTGGCTGGAGATATCACTATCAAAAACACATGAATAAATTAAAAAATTGAAAATGTTAAACTATTTTAGAGCAGCTACTTATTTGATACTTGTAAGCAAGTGCATTTGAGTGCTTGTAGCTCTTCCATTTCAGTTTTTAACTAGATGCAGGAAATTTGAAACACAAATTCCAAGTATTAGGTGTTGCATATAATTTGATAAATAACTTTAGCAGCTACATAAAACTTGTAAACTTTTATTAGTAAAGATTGTGGAAATTGTATTTTAGACACATTACCTAAAAAGAAACTAATTATTCTAAAAACTTTTAAAGTGATTTTTGTTGTTGTTGTTCTTGTTCAAGATAGAGTTTTTTTGGTTGGGAAAATTGGACATCCACATACAGAAGAATGAAACTGGACCATTTCTTTGCACGACACACAAAAATAGGGTCAAACTGGATGATAGACCTAAATATGAGACAGGAATCCATCAAAATCCTTGAGGAGAACATAGGCAGCAACCTCTTTGACTTCAGCCACAGCCACTTCTTACTAGACAGTCTCCAAATGCAAGGGAAACAAAGGCAAAAATGATCTACTGAGACTTCATCAAGATAAAAAAATCTTTTGCACAGCAAAGGAAACAGTCAACAAAACCGAAAGACAACTGACAGAATGGGAGAAGATATTCACAAATTAAGGGTTAGTATCTGAAATATATAAAGAATTTATGAAACTCAGTAAGTTTCATGGAACAAATAATCCAATCAAGAAATGAGCAGAAGACATAAACAGACATTTCTGCAAAGAAGACATCCAAAAAGCAACAGACAAATGAAAAAGTGCTCAATATCACTTGGCGTCAAGGAAACACAAATCAAGACCACAATGGGATATGACCTCATACCAGTCAGAATGGTAAAATTAAGTCAGGAAATGACAAATGTTGTCCAGGATGTGGAGAAAGGGGAATCCGCCTACCCTGTTGGTGGGAATGCAAGATGGTGCAGCCTCTTTGGGACACAACATGGAGGTTCCTCAAAAAGTTGAAAAAAGAGCTACCCTATCACCCAACAATTGCCTGACTGAGTATTTACCCCAAATATGTAGTGATCCAAAGGGACATCTTCTTCCCAATGTTTATAACAGCAATGTCCACAATAGCCAAACTGTGGAAAGAGCTCAGATGTCCATCAACAGATGAATGGATAAAGAAGATGTGATTACACACACACACACACACACGCAAAATAAAACTACAATGGCATGTTACACAGCCATAAAAATGAAATCTTGCAATTTACAATAACATGGATGGAACTACAGGATATTGTGCTAGGTGAAATAAGTCAATCAGAGAAAGATAATTATCATATAATCTCACTGATATGTAGAATTTAAGAAACAAGGCAGAGGTTCAAAGAGGAAGAGAGGAAATAAATGGATCGAGACAAAATCAGAGAGGGAGACAAAGTATAAGAGACTCTTAATCTCAGGAAACAAACTGAGGGTTGTTAGATGGGAGGGCAGTGGTCGAATGTGGAGACTGAATGATGGACATTGGGGAGGATATGTGTTGCAGTAAGTGCTGTGTGTTGTGTAAGACTGATGAATCACAGACTTGTACCCCTGAAACAAATAATACATTATATGTTAATAATAAAAATAAAAAATAAAAATTTTTGAAATAAAAAAAGTCTTTGTAATAATATAGCTCAATAACACATTTTGTTTTATTTTGTCTCATTTTATTCTTCATGTCTGGGTGTTGTAAATGGAACCATGAAATGTATCATTATATTCATAAAATTGAGGGGTGATACATACATTTCTTAATTCCTTTCAGTGTCCATATTGTATTCAGTTTTATTGCAACAAAAAATATTGAGAATTGGTTTTCTGATATTGTTTTCCAAAACACTGCAAGATCTTTGTTTTACAATCATGAACTAATCAAGTGTGTCAAGAGGAAAATTAATCCGTACTTTTGAAACTGTCTGATTTTTCACAAGTTGGACACAGCCCCATTATAAAATATAGATATGTAACCATGTCCATGGTTTTATGGACCAGGTCCAAAAGGCCCCACATATTCCAAATATACCTTTCCTCCATCCAGTCCATCCTGGGGTCAAGGCATGGTCCATTCAATTTAGATCAACACCACCTACTTCACCATCCTCACTCACTTCGTCTCTCTACTTGCAGTGTTGCACTTCCCCAAATGACCACTAATTTAACATTTCTAAAGTGCAGATCTAATCATTTTGCTACTGTTTGTAAAACTCTGGGTTACAGAAGGGCAAGAAAGAAGTCTATAAAATAAAGTAGGAAAGAATGAGCGATTGAAACATTTATCCCTTATACTTTGCCAACCTTCAGACCTTTGCGCATGTTGTGCCTTTTCTGTGGCATATTGTCCCTGAGAAAGTCCCCTCTGCCACAGTCTCCTGTACTCATCTGAGGGAACATCTAGTCAACATTTGTACTGAGTTCCAGAGGCTGATCTCAGTCCCCTTTTTTGACCAAATTCATGTACCACAGATAAAACAGATGTGTCCTTATGAGTCATACACTTTCCGCATTAGCATCATATATATACTAGGCTTATCATACATTGTATAGTACCTCTTTCCATATAAAACTATAGAGGTTCAAATTCCTTGAAAACAACAACCATATAGTCCTCAGATTTTAAACTAATTTAGCTGTTATTTGGGATTATAAGAGTTTAAGTGTTTATTGAATAAATGATGAAGTTTGAATATTTGATATTATGCTTCTCTTTTTTTTTTGTTTAATAAATTACATACTTCAAAACTCGGTTAAGATATCACCTCAAGCAAGGAACCTGCCCTAAATCTTCCTTTCATTCTGAGTTCATAATTGTCCCACAGTTTCTTATGCAAGCATAGATACTAAACCTACAGTTTAACCACTAGGTGCTTTCAGTTTGGGACCATGTCCACATAGTGAATATCATTGTGGACTAGCAAATTAAAGGATGATACAAGGTAGGCAGATGACAGGATTGTACCAGTAATAATTAGTCACATTGAAATGAGCATATTTTATAAGATTGTCACACTGTCAGCAAACAGAATACAAAGTTTAAAAATATAGGACAACTGATATTTTAACTGTTTGTGTGGAATAATTTTACACTTACAGAAAAGTAGTATGAGTAAGACTGGTATAAACCACAGCCACATACCTTTTAACCAGACTCAACAGTTAGCGCTTTTTTTAACCTCTTTCTCTTCATCACCCTTCTCTCACTCCCTCATTTCAATCAATTACATAGAATCACATGATCTTTCTTTCTCTAAATATTTTAATTATGTATTTCCTAAGAATATGGGTGTTCTACAGAGTCAGAGTGAAGTTATCAACTTCAGTAAATATAACATCACTATAATATAATTGTATGATATGTTTTGAAAGAATAAGAATTTGAAAATTAAAAAGTTTTTTAAAAAATAAAAGTAAAAAAATTAAAAAGAGGTTTCTTTTTTAACACAGGGAGGCAATATACATAACTTTCCTACTATATAGTTTCTTTTTTTAAAACAATATTTTACTTATTTGAGAGAGAGAGAATGAGTGGGTGGGAGGGGCAGAAGGAGAAGGAGAAGCAGACTCCTCACTGAACAGGGAGCCCAGTGCACGGTTTGATCCCAGAACTCTGGGATCATGACCTGAGTGAAAGGCAGATGCTTAACCTACTGAACCATTCAGGTGCCCCTACTTTATAGTTTCTTGAAAGACAGGTCCCGCGTTCAACATTTTCTTCAGAGCTCCCATAACATCCTTATTTCTTAGACTATAGATGAAAGGGTTGAGCACAGGAGTGAGTATGGTGTAAAAGACAGATACCATCATGTCCTTCTCTGGTGTATGGTAGGAGCTGGGGAGCATGTAAGTATAAATGGCAGCCCCATAGAAGAGGATGACCACAGTCATGTGGGAAGAACAAGTCGCAAAGGCCTTCTGTCCTTCTGCTGAGTTCATCCTATGGATGGTGATGAGGATAAAGTAGTAAGAGCCTGAAATGACTATCACAGGAATGAGAAGCATAAGGACACAGCACAGGTACATGAAAATCTCATAGATGTAAGTGTCCAAACAAGAGAGTTTCAATACAGCAGGGACTTCACAGAAAAAAATGATGTATCTCCCGAGATCTGCAGAAAGGGAAGGTCATGGTGATGGGAGTAGACAAGAAACCATCCACTGAGCCCAGAAACCAGCCGCCAGATGCTAGAAGGTGTAACACCCGATGGTTCATGAGGACAGGGTAACGAAGAGGATGGCAGATGGCCACATAGTGGTCATAGGCCATAGAAGCTAGAAGAAAAAATTCTGAACCTGCTAGTGTCACATAGAGAAACATTTGTATCCCACATTCTATGTCTGAGATCCTGTTCATACCCATGACTTGGTCCATGAGCATCTTGGGCACAGTAACAGAAATATACATCATGTCCATGAGAGATAGCTGGCTAATGAAAAAATACATGGGGGTGTGGAGGTGGGCATCAGAATGTATCAATAGAATCAAGATGGTGTTTCCAGACAAGGCCATTAGGAAAAGCACGAAAATGACCAAACAAAGGAGAGCTGGGTGTTTGGATTCACTGAAGATTCCCACCAGGGTGAAATCTGATCACCCAGTGTGGTTAGCTAGCCAGTTGGTGTTCTCCATGTGATTTCACCTGGGCAACCTAGGGAAGCTTTGGGATTAATGAATCAATCATGAAACACCATCCACTGAAATGAATGTGTTGAGAGAGAAAGAGAGAACGAGAACCCAATTATGTTATCAGAAAAAAATTCCATGGTTTTATAGATTTAGAGATTACAAATTATCTGTAATTATATAAATTTACCATTTGGGAGGTTGCTTTATTCATTGTATCATGAGTTTTCCTTTTGCTATAGTATCCTTTACCAATAAGCATGTACATTTTTTTAGGTTAGCAGTTGCCCTAACCAAACACAAAAGATGAATCAAAATGTAAAATTTATATATATAGATAGATATATATATACATATATATATATATACACACACACACACACATATGTATACATATATATGTATATATATGTATTTAGATATGTGTGTGTGTGTGTGTGTGTGTGTGTGTGTGTGTGTGTATATCACCCCTTCTAGAATTTTTATTGTAGATAATCAAAATATCATTAATCTCTCTGGTCCAAGAATCCAACTGAGTTTTTTTTTTTTTTAATTTCATTTATTTGAAAGAGAGAGAGCATGAGCAGGGAGAGCAGCAAGCAGAGGGAGAGGGAGAAGCAGACTCCCTGCTGAGCAAGGAGCCCTATACAGAACTCAATACCAGGACCCCAGATCATGACCCTAGCCAAAAGCAGATGCCCAGCTGACTGAATCACCCAGGTGTCCCTTCAACTGAGATCTTAAAAACTCTTTAAGATGCATCTGTATAAGAAAAAAAAATAATTTCATTAATAATTTCATATAAGAAAAAATAATTTCACTGTGCACAGAATTATCAAATCATTACTTATACAACTGAAACTAGTAGAATTTTATGTAATACCCCAAAAAGAACAATTTAATGAACCACTGAACATTATACCAAAAACTAATGATTCACTAATTGAATTTAAATTTAAAAAAAGAAAAAAAATAAATAATAAAAAGAAAATGTAACCTCAACAAAATTTAGGGAAAATCTATATGAAATTCTTGAACCCCACAGTGAGGCACTGTGATTGTATGGAGTAACACACAAATCGCCCCCAAACAGATCATGATCCTAACCAATGACCAAACCCTTAGATAGCCTAGGGCCACCATTTTGGAGCTCTGACTCTGAAGCCACACTGGCTGTGGGTCCAGCTTATCCTCTATGCACTCTTCCTCCATTCATTCTACATACATAAAAAAGAGGAAAATAATAATGTTATATCTTGCATATGTTTAGGATTAAATGAGGAAAGTGCTTGGACCATTACTGCTTACAGATGACTTATGAATTAAATAGTTAATAGGTACAGTAATAATTATGCAGAATCTATGTAAGAGATGGCTGTTACTATTATCATTTGATAATATGAGATCCATTATGTCAGTTCACAAGTTTAATATCTATTTATGCATTTAAAAATTTGATTTGACCATTTCTGTAGTCCTAGATAACTTATGAGTGTATATGTGTGTATATGTATTATATATATATAAACATATATATATACTTACTGTATACATGTATAATTATTCTATAAAAATAAACTTTAAGATATATATATATATATATAATATTATTTTAACCCTGATTAAGCAGAACTTTATGAGAAATCTATCTAATTTGTATCCAGTACATGTTTTTCCAAGTTGAAATTCATCTTAGAATTTCTACCATCTACTTTATATTTCAGAGGACAGGAAGTAGTATTTAGACAGTCATTGCTATTTATCAGAGAAGGCTTTAGTTGTTTCCCCAAATGTTATCTGTTTTAATGCACAGAGCAATTAATTGTTCATGGAACTGAGATTCAGAGAGGAAAGTTGAACAACACTACGATATTTCTGACTTCAATTTACCATTTACTACTTTATCTTGCTGTTCACAGCCAGCCTCTCTATCAGATGCTAAAGATGAATCAAAAACAAATTATCTAATTACAGTTAATGAGGTCACAGTCAGTCTATTCAGAGACAAAAATAGAAATGCAATTTAAAGCAGAATTCTAAAATAGCTACAAAATAAATAAAAACAATTAACACAAAATACCTCTGACCTTTCTTAAGAGAATAATACCTCCTTTGACATTTTCTGTTCTGAAGTTTAAACTTTTGCAACCTTTTCATTTCTGACATGTCAAATCTCAAAATTCAGAAGTCCTTACTAAGAGGCAGCAAATATTGACTCCTCTTTCTGGGAAGAGCTTAGAGGCAGTTATCATGTCTAGATATTTTGAGAAGAATTTACAAGTTTCAAATATGTTTTATACTTTTAAAAATATATTTTATACTTTTTCCATAATTCTAAGACTAATTAAAACATCAAATTATTAATATTCTCAGTTGATAAAGCAGTTGAGAACCCTGAAAATGATTTTGAATTCTTAATATATTCAACAAATTTTTTTAATTTTTTAATTTCTTTTCAGCATAACAGTATATTCAACAAATTTTGACAAATTGCATCAACAATAGCCTTTCTATCACATCCCACCCTCACTGAAAGATGAAATTTGAGAACTGTGAAAAATAAAAACACAGCCTGATAAATTACAAAACACATCTGCTGACAAAGTCTGTATTTGTGGTCAAAATAAATTAAGGATCAGCACAGTGAGCAATAAATGTGAAAGCCTTGAAACCGCTTGCTAAGTGAATGAAGGGAGACCACACAAGTATTTGGGGGGTTCTAGGAAATCTTTGCTGTGCTTTTGTAAATGTGGGTCACTGCCATTAAGCCACACTGAACAGTCCACCTGGGATACCAGACACAAAACTGAACACTGTCTGTTGTATGCATGGCGACTGGCCCTTCTGTTCATAGTTACTCTTTTCTAATATAATTCCTTGAGCTTTATATAAACAACTTAATGCATAGTTAACATGTAAATTCATTGACAGTGGTGGTGGATTCATGTTAAACTTTATTTGAAGCTGACAGCATCCTAGGAATTGTTCTAATGCTTTATCATATTTTATCTTTCCCAAGACTCTACAAGGTACATATTCATCTTATTTTCTCATTTTACACATTAAGGAATTCAGATTCTTATGGTCTGCTTAACCGAACACAACTACACTGAGTTGAGCCCACAGGCTGTAACCATGCCTCAGAATTTTGGGGGACCTGGTCTTCCCTGCATAGTAGATAATTTGGGTATTAGGTCACCCACTGTCAGTTTCATTAGAAAATATAAATATGATTGAAATATTTATTTCTAACCCTCAAAAATTATCTCCACTCAAAGTAAAATCAATAGCTCATCTGCAAAATTTCAATTTCAGGAAAACAAATACATTATCCAATTATATAGGAAATGTGTATATTCTTCTGTATGCAAATAATTAGAAAGCAAAAGTACATTTTTTAATGTGCTATACAAAAAGATTCAAGAGAAAATGTAAATTTGTTTTTTCACTTATAAATAGGTAAAAAGAAAATTAAGGACATATTTTCAACAACTATAATGGAGAATATCAGAAGCAGAAGTCAAGACAGTTAGAAAATAATCACCCTTTTTTTTTTTTTCCTTTCAGTTCTGTCTGCTTCTCTGGTTGAATCCAGTCTCATTCAGATGGGATAATAGAGTGTGACCAGGTTAAGTGTACAGAGAGAAGTAGGAGGGCTTTACTATGCCCATTAAGTGAGTGGATGAATGTTTTCTGTCAGTAAATCCCCTCTGAGACTATAAAGAAGAATGCAATTATAAGAGCTGAAGAAGCTAATAGCTATCCTTATTGCACTGTCCTGCTTTTTGCTGATGTCTTTTAAAAAATCTTTTATTGTTCATCTCAATATGTATCAAAATCTTAACCGGATTAATAATATTCACACACTGTATTACTAATGAATTTTTGGCTATGACATATATGAGTTAGGATTTTTTTTAAGATTTTTTAAATTTATTATTTATTTGACAGAGATCACAAGTAGACAGAGAGGCAGGCAGAGAGAGAGGAAGGGAAGCAGGCTCCCTGCTGAGCAGAGAGCCCAATGTGGGGCTCGATCCCAGAACCCTGGGATCATGACTGGAGCTGAAGGCAGAGGCTTTAACCCACTGAGCCACCCAGGTACCCCATGAGTTAGATTTTATGTAAACTTTTCATTTTACAAAATACATATTTCATGTAGATGTGAATATATTTTTTTCTCATTTTAGGTTTAAGATAAATATTTGAAATATACATATTTTTTCTTTTTACTTTTTACTGATGTACAATCTGAAATTCATAGTTCAATACATTTTTCAAAGATAATATCATTAATTAGTACTATGGTTGAAACTAAAATTAAGATCATCTTCACATTTTTTTTAAAATTTAGATCCCAATATATTAGTGTTATTCTGTATCTCTGACTACAGTCTTTAGCTTAAAATCTAATTTATCTGATATGAGAATCGCTACCCCAGCTTTCTTTTGAGGCCCATTGGCATGAAAGATGCTTCTCCATCCCTTCACTTTCAGTCTGAATGTATCTTTAGTTTCCAAATGTGTCTCTTGTAGACAGCATATGGACAGGTCCTGTCTTTTCATCCAGTCTGCAACCCTGTACTATTTTATGGGAGAATTTAGGCTGTTCACGTTGAGAGTGATTATTGAAAGATTAGTTTTTATTGACATCCTGTTGCCTGTGAAGTCCTTGTGTCTATAGATTGCCTCTCCAAGTTTCTGTTCTATGACACTCTTGGGTTCTTTCTTCTTTTATAGAACCACCCCTAATATTTCTTGTAGTGCTGGCTTGGTGGTCATGTACTCCTTTAAATCTTGCCAGTCTTGGAAGCTCTTTATCTCTCCCTCCATTCTGACTGTCAGCCTTGCTGGATAAATTGTTCTTGTCTGCGTGTTCATCTAATTTAGTGCCCTGAATATGTCTTGCCCACCCTCTCTGGCTTCCCAGGTTTCTGTGGCCAGGTCTGACGTTATTCTGATGGTCCTGCCTCTGTAGATAAGGAATCTCTTCCCTTAGCTGCTCT